ATGGGTTTTATAAATGGCAAAATAATACGGGCTATTTGTAGCCTTATATTTCTTATAAGACCTATTTTTAAGGTTTAGCAAATGCTTAAGCTCTTTTGTGTACCAAGGCTGCTTATAGAATTTAGGTGAATATGCAGGAATATATTTCTTACAAAGACCATACACTTTAGCTTTAAAAATATCAAAACACCTTTCTGTGTCAAAATCCGAAAAAATACAAGCCCAATCGATATTTTGAAGAATCCCATCTAGGAGTTCAAAGTTACCAATATTATAATTTAAGCGGATACCATTGCTTTCAAGAGGAATGGTAAAAAATTCATAAAACTCAAAATTTATACTCAGTGGAGCATGGTGACCGCAGGCTGGCGAAATTGGCAGTGAACGAATGACAAACTCGTTGCGAACATTTCGCAAGCGATATATTTACATATGTAGGGCCCTAGACATGCGTAGACGTAGCCTTCAAGTTGAATTAGCTGGCTTAGAGCGTACTTTTTTCACGACGAGTTAGACCATTGCAAGATCATCATTGCATATTTTTTCGTTTTTAATTGTTTTTGCAAGTAACGTGACTACGTTAGCGCTTCATTTAAAGAAAATCCCCCAGCTGTGAAATATTTATAAACCATCCAAAATGTCGTACACTTTCATTATACACTTTGCTCAAGCATTATTTATTACGATTTGATTAGCTTGTATACCCACGCCTTTACTAAGCACTCAATATGTAAGTGGATATTTATGCTTCACTGCTTCCACACTGCGCTGCAAAGCCGCTTAAAAAAAAAAGGTAATCTGAAATGAAGTGTGTTTTGATTTTTGCCATTTTGTTATTTTCTCGCTTTTTGCTTCCTAACGTCGCCATGCATCATCAGGCACTATCAGCGCAATATCCGACCAATTTACAATTCAAAAAGTCAGCTTTGAAGTGCCGCTGCAATAATCAAATATGCGTATAATGACACATACACTCACACACATATCTACACTTACTTATGCAAATATGCGTGTAGCATTCACGAACGCCAAACAGCATCAATTTCAAATTTCTTTAGGGATTTCCACTTCATTCTTTGTATTTTACAAAATTATTTCGGCACCGAAAAAATTTGCATCAAACATTCATTGCCTACTTCCGAGCGGTGAGTAGTACCGGCTTTTAAGCACTTTGCATGCATACATACATACAAAAATGTTTTTTTAGAGTGTTACGAGCCTCTTAACACTCTTCCTCTTTCAATTACCTTTCTCTTTACTTGATTTTGCCTCTCTACGCTGGTGCAAAGTTATTTGCATAAACCCACACCCACACGGGTATACATAGAATTAAGGAACCGAAGGGAGAATATGTTAGCGGGGCAAGAAAGGTAAGTAAACGATTTCATGCCCTGAAATAACAATATTATTACCTCATTGCGCTTACCGTACATTTTTACACGATGCTCTCACACATTTTACGTGCCTGTGATTTTGAGGTTACGTATACAACATGTATGGCTCGCCGTTCTCCAACTCAAATCTGCTCACTCATCAAAGTATTAAGTTTTACTATTAACTTTCTTTTTTCTCGCAGATACATATTTCTGATCAAACATCTCTATCGCTAACCCTCCGGTGATGTTATTTGAGACAACAATTTTTTTCCGCTTTGAGAAAATAAACAAAATTACTTTACTTAAAGTGGTATGCGCTGTCGTTTATTTATTTATTCGTTTTCTTTTCGCTTTCACATTTTTATTTTAGCTGTTTACCGAGCTACATACATATGTATGTAGATGAGCGACGATAAGCTTAAATGACATTTACTGTGAGAACACCGAACCAAAGCCACTTGCGCCGCCCCCAATATGTTGCTTGTAATTTATTCGCCACTTTACACAAACTCCATACCCTTGCAACACATTCCTACATATATATATAAGCTCAGTTTCAATCACCATTGAATTGTAGCTACACCTACATATCTACATAAAATATTTCAATTTATCTTTTATAGTATGTATTTTT